ATATGCAATTCAGCAATTCATGAATATGTCAAGGATTTAGATGATTCTCAATGATTTGATCATTTATACCATAAAAAGATGCTGCCACATGCAGCTTCACATGCTCTTGATTTCCCTATTAGCTAAGGACAGTTTTTGGAAGGTCCATCTCTTGCAACATTATTTAAATCTACATCTGTTTATATAGTAAAGATATTCTACATACTTACTTACAGGTTTTAAACATTTGCAATAGAGAAATAAATAAAATACATGCCTAAGTTTTACCCCCACTTGTAAAAATAGGTAAAAGAATGGCGCTGGGATGCCTGAATGGCTCAGTCATTTAAACACCCAACTCTTGATTCCAGCTCAGGTCATGAGCTCAGGGTTGTGAGACTGAGACCTGCACTGGGCTCCATGCTGAGCATGGAACCTACTTGGGATCTCTCTCTCCTTTTCCCTCTGCCTGTCCCCCCACCCCCACCCCAAAGAATCACATGCCATCTCAGAAGAAATTGAGTTTTTATCCTCTATCTAATGTCATATTCTTGTTTTTGAATATATGCAGCTAAGTCAGAAATAAAATGGACTGACAAATACTCTTGCCTAATACAAATACTATTCAAACAATATGATAATAAGGAATTTGGGAAATCCCACCCTAACTCCTGTAGCAGTTGCTCAAATTAAGTAGTGCTCACCCCATAGGTGATCATCACAAAGCCCAGTGTTAGCTTTAGTGGACTAAAGCAGTCCTTGGTTTAGTCAGAATTATAGCATTGAGATCTAGCAGCAAGAATAGCTAGGTATGATTTGAGTTGGGTAGTGAGTTATTTCTTGAAACTTGTGCTTTTAACACAACCGTTTAAAAATCAACAAATGCAGGAGACACATAATGGAACAAAATATAATGCATGAATCCAGGTTCATTAAACTAATGCATTTTTTGAAAAACAAAATATGACAGAACGTTTCATTATTGACGCAGAAAGGAGAAAAAGTGTTATGCTGCTATTTAGAATGTGTCTTGTGTGTCGTGGAATTGAAATATTTCCAAATCATCAATAATTAAAATGATGAGAATCCATCATTTCACTGACATTTACTTCTACATGAAAAGATGGCCTATTTTAAATGTGCTCACACATATTCTTGTCAATCACAAGCTGTCACAGCAAATTATTTCATTTTGTAGATCACATGGCAGTTAACAGAAAATCTCTAGGTTTAAATTTAGATCTTAGGTGTAGTATCAAGAACACTTTTCATGGATTCTTTTTTTTTTCTGTGACTACATCTTTGCAATTCAGTATATTAAAGATGTAAAATCTTATTCATAGTACTCAGTTTCACTTCTGGTTAACAAAACTCAGGACTGAAATGAATCACTGTAAACGATAGCTCTAAAAGCCAAACAGTAGAATAGAATATACAGAAAAGAATGAAAATATAAAACTAAAGAAAATTTTAAACTGTTAGAACTCCATACAATGAAATTTGGACCTAATAAGTTAGGTCCAAACAGTTTTTTTCTCTCATCTTCTTTAAGACATTTAAGCAATTGCGGGGCATATCTTATGCTAGGTTGGCACTGCTTACATTTTCTAGCAACTATAAAGGAGTTACCCTTTTATAAACCCCATGAATCTGATGTAGGAATTTTCATGGTGCCACCATTAAAGAAGATTCAGGAAATGGTGAATAAAACCTAAAGTGCATGCCCAAGGATCAGAAAACTTTTTAAATGCTTCTTTAAACAATTCATTAACTATATCATCAAAATTCTAGCAGAATCATTAATAGATTTCAGAATCTTCACCATTACTATATGACCTAATCAGACAGTTGATCTTCATCAACAGTCCTTATAAAAAAGATTCTATTTTTCCCATACATAATCTTCTGCTCAGGCATTTAACTTCAAAATGTAAGAATTATTCTAATACTGCATTTCAACAGGGAATGCTTCCTGTCAGTCTTGACCTTGGCTTGACCTCTATAAGAAAGCTTTGTGTTTTGAGGTATGTGATGAATAGCTCTCCGGCTTTCTATTAAATCTGGTGGCACTGACTGTCAACAGTGGTACTCAAAAGGGGTAGTAAGGTAGTTAAAAATCAGAAATGTTCCTTAGGACTTTTTCTATCCTAGTAAATCTGGGAATAGTTCTGAGGCAATTTTCATTATCTGCATTGCTTTTCCAAAGAATAAGAAAACCATGAAATATGAAAATATAATTGCCAAAATATGCATAGACTTCTTTGGCCCTCCTGTAGCAGAAATAATGTAAATTTTCCTTTGGAGGACCCATTTGACTTACATTGTTGAATAGGGTTCTCAGTTTTAAGGATTTATAACTTATTTACTCAGTTTACACTCCTTAAAGACCAGGACTTCTATCCTTAAGCCAGGACTGCATACATAAGAAAATACCTATTGGTTTACATTTAGATCAAATTGAATTAAACCGAATTTAGTATCAGAGATGAAAGAATAATGATAAATAATGATAAAAAAGAAGTCAGCCCCTTTTTTTCATCTCTCTCTCTGAACTGGCCTAGTACCTGGCACATAGTAGGCTCTCAATGAATGTTTGCTGAATGAATGAAAATCTTTATATTAAAGTAATGACCAATTACTGACTCTGATGCCTGTTGCTTAATTGCATATAAAATATTCATGTTCATGTAGAAAGATAAAACAGTAACACCCAATTCTGCCAGCTGTTTTCCCTTTATTTACCTTTAGAATTCCTCCTTACTCTAAATTTATCTGCCATCTTCGAAGCTATTCATACATGTCTTATTTTTAAGGTACACTCATAGTAAATTGGCAAATTATTGATTATCCATAAAACACATATAAGAAAGGTAATTTTAACCTGATTTGAAAAAGTCCATGTGAATGTGGGATATATATATATATATGAAATCTCCCCACACTTCTCTCAAAATATTTAATTCAAGTTACAGACTGTACTATGTATAGATAATACTTATTTACATTTATATTCTTAAGGTTCTGGAAGAAACCAAATATCACTCTTTAGGCTTATAGGTTTATCTTTGAGCTTAATTTAGACAAGTGGCTTTTCCCCTATTATACTTATCCTAGGTCTTTTTAATGGATATGTGATATGCTAGTCTGTGTCCAGGCTTACCTACAATTTCTTTTCTCAAAAGACAAGGCACATCTGCCACCTGCTCTACTCTGTGTCCCAGCAACAACTGTCGAGCAGCATAAAGATTGATTATCAGTCAAAAACCATTGCACAACACCAGATTTTGGTGGGTTAAGCTTGCTGATCCAGCAAGAGATGGTGTGAAATTTTCAGGAGTGTGTGCCAACATTTTGGTGCTAAAAGAACAGCAGTGCATGTCACAGTGAAACACAGCCAAAGATATGCAGACAAAGCAGAGAAGTTTTTTGTTCTGGACTTGGCTTTAGAAAGAGTAAAAGAGAAAACAGAAAGTAGGAGGAAATTAGTTTGTACATTTAAAAATCATCTACTACGCTAGTCATGTGTGTAACACTGTTATTTTAAGCATACATGTCCAGGAAAATTTCTAAGAAGTTAACTATAAATAATTTTTATACATCTCTTCTATAATACCATTATCATATGAAAGGCAAGTATTTCTTATTAATAAAAGTAATCAAGGATCTTAAGGAAACACCCATTAAATATACATTTAAAAAAATAAAATAGTCACAGAAACCTTTACCCACAAAGACGCATGCTTTTACAGAAGATGATTTATATAAATGATCCAATGAACACAAAATAAAAGCAGCCATAGTTTAAAGTTAAACCAAGATTTGAAAAGTATATGGGTCTATTTTCTTGCACACGTAATTTTTAGTGAGTATTGTAGCAACAAGTTTCTTTACCTTGAACCAAATTACCTTGAACTTTCTACTAAATTCAGGAAATTATTTCCTGATGATCAAGTATTTTCAGAGAGATAGAAATCCTACTATCGTCTTATATAATAACATTAATAGAGGAAGAATTTTCATCACCTCATCTGTAATGATCTCCAGAATTACTTTTCTTCCACTTATGCAATTACTGCCTAGACTTGTCCTTGGTTCACTAGCTTTGTAGCAGTTGCAGAAAGAAAATACTTCTAATAAGGTATTAAAAGTATAGGGGAATATAGCAGTTAGAGACACTGAATTTGTATGCCAAAGTTCTTATGTCATTTAAATGTAATTACCATATATAGCACTTAATAACAGACTATGGTAGGACATGCATGTAAGAATATTCCTAGATAGTATTTTCATTTCTTTCTTAAAATGCATGATTTCCCACTGAAAAAGGAAAAATATTTGTTTTATTTTAGATAACGTATCTGAAATGTTAGAAACAATGGACTTTTAAAAACAGAACTTACCAGCAAATATATCTAAAATACATGTTATATTTTGTGCATATATTATATATACATATAAATATAAATTACATATGTATATACACACATTGCAAGATTTAAAAAGTCAAGCTGCTGCATTTACCTTATGAAAAATTTTGTTAGGAAAATTGCATATATACATAAGAATTATGTGTTCATTCTGACCACATTTTCATAGTCATGTTAATGCTCTCTGAAAAAAGACCAAGAGTGTAAATGAATAAATGCTACTTGAAACTTTGAAGTATTTTCTGAGAGAATAAATCTAATGAATTATGTCTGTTGGGTGTCACAGAAACTAAACAGTAAATTCAATAATCTCTGATTTAATTTATTATATTTTCACCATTTAACCTCCTGCAGGCTCCCTAATGTCTATTCAGATCTATATTAAATTAAGCACCAATGCTAATGAAGGGCAATAAACGTGGCTGTCAGTGGATTTTTCTTTCATTAAGCACATTATCCTCTTACTGAGCTGCAAATGCGTAAACATTAGTTTTGTTAAACCATGCAAAAAAGACAGGATGAAAATCATTTTTTAATTGCACCCCTTAAGCAATTTACTGTGGGTGGGGGTAGGGTATTTTTTTTCTTTTTTACCTTTAATTTTTTTGAATGGATCTAAAAAGGGCTCTCCTGTTGAAACATAAACGTCGGCTTCATGGGGTATATCTTCAGGTTTGAGGGCTTCAGTGCCGTCTGCCAAGAACACTCGTCGTGCGGCCATGTTCAGATTCAGCTTTTTTGTGCACTCCTCCAGCAACTAGAAGACGGCAAGCAAGAGGTAAGAGAAAGTGATTTAGCACAAAGAAAGCAACACATTGCCATGAAACAAAAGGTGGCAACAGTGAAAACAGACACCCATTGAGTCACTGGCCAAGTTAAGTAACTCAAGTAACTCCACCAATATTTTTTCTAGCACTTGAAAATATAAAATAAAAGGTAAATCACAGCACTGAGACAAACTAATGGCTGTCTAATTTTAGTCCTTATTTTGTCAGTTTAACAACTCCACAAGATACAAAGCTATTGTATCTGTTTAAGTCAACATACCATTTACATATCAATGAAAAAGAAAGGAATAAAATACCTGTGAGATCTATGTATATATAAGCAATTTACAGATTCATTACTGAAAAGAAAATTTTAACAATAAATATCATCTTTTTCATTTCTTAAATTATGAAAAGAGTAAGGGAAGAAATAAAGCACTGAAAACTTTTGAACACTATTTACCAAGGTGATGGTTGGTACTGTAACTTTGGTAAAGACTGTTCTAGATCCATTTTTGTAAGCTGTTACTGTAATCACTTCAGGATGAAGTTTGCGTCTTTGAGACAATCTATGCCAATTCTGGGCTGGCTGAAATTTTAAAGAAGAGAACTCTGCAACTCTGAAGGAAAAACCCCCCACAAAATTGGTACATGTTAATTAGTAAAAACATTTAAATAAATATTATCCTAGACATTTTTTATAGACATCAACCCTAATGATTGTTCTCAAGTATTCCTTGAAAAAACTTTTTATAGGCTAAGATTGTCCATATCTACTTAAATATTTTTAGAAATTTAACCCAGGATAAGTCTGCTAAAACTGTTCATGTAAAACACCTATCTGGCAATAAATGATTTTTATCAATTAACTTATAAAACACAACACTCATATAGAAAAAATTATATGTATACATGCTGTGTTCCTGTTAGAAAACAAAAAACAGTAACATAGTCCTAACAGCATGAAATAGTAAATGGCTAAGATCTTCCCTTAAGTTTTCATGTTTATCAAAGTTCTTTGATTTTTTAAAAAGATTTGAAATTCAAATACTTTCTTACTCTAAATTTCTTATTCTAAAGTTAGTTGTAACTGCTTTTATCTCAAATTTGTTTGCAGATAGAAAGGGAGGATTTCTAAGTTTTGTCTTCATTCAGAATCACTTTCAACTCTTATTATTTTCTCAACAAAAGTAGCACATGGCAAATGACTAGCATGTCGTATTTTTTATTTCAGGGTTCTCTAACTAAACCTGTTAATTCTTAATGCCACAGAAACAAAGTAAACATTTTGAAATAAAAACTTTAGGTAAATTAAAATCACAATATACCCACCTAATCAAACATATGAAAATAATGGGAATATCAGTCTCTTGGTTTGATTTTTGCGTTTGCCAACATTTTCTTCTATCCATTAATTCTCAGGTTAACAGCTTATGATAACAATCTTGATGTGAAAATATATACACAAACTGGTTTTATGAGTTTATTTCAATTTGATTTTATTGCAAAATACTGATTAAACACCAAAGTATGCATTTCTATTTTAAACAAATATCAGGTAAACAGATATTTTGTAGCCTAGCCTGATTCTCCTTCAAGTATTTTTTTCTGAGTTTCATATTATCTACATTGAAGTGTACTTCATGTTTTTCACAAGTGCAGTTAGCAACATTCTACTCAGGTGCTTTCGAAGAAAAAAATAAACAAAACAAAAACAGAAACAAAACCCTAGAGATGCGTTACATTTTAATGTCTAAAATAGTCAACTGAATCATTATAAATTCTGCTCAAAGGAAAAAGCTTCAGCAGTCGGTTAAAAGAACAGAGAACAGCTTTGATTACCTCAGTTGACCCACTGGAGCACTGACAGATCTGTTTCTCTTGGATGCTGATATAAAACAAGAATTGTTTTTACTGTTTGATTTGTAGCGATATGGGTCTGATATTTCATCATGGCTATGATCTGGTGCTGTTTGATGTGTGGAGCAATCTTGAAGTCCTGACCCTTCTGATACTGCCGCTGAATATAAAAGTCTGTTGGGGCCAAACTGAGGCTGCAAATAATCTTCAGTAGTTTTAATAACTGCTTTTGCCTGGGATGACATAAACTCTCTGAAAGAAACAATCCATGGAAGAATACAGTGAATTGATTTGTAATTACTTGTTAACTACCCCATAATTGCTTGTGTGCTATGTTCTAGACAAAATACTACACACTTGGTCATTATTTTGTTAAATCCTTACAACATCCCTGGAAAGTGGGCACTATTTGTATCCCCATTTTACAGATTTAAGAAACTGTGGTTCAGAGAGGCCAATTAACTTGACAAAGCTAACATAATTAGGAAGCTGACAGGGTGGGAAACTGAACCTAAGTCTATACTAAAATAAAGCCCACATTCATAACCATTAAATTGAATTGCTTTACTCTATTCAAGAAGAAAGCTTGTATGATGCTTGAAACAATGCAACTAAAATTTTTAAATTCTCAGATTTCATTTATTAAAAACTAGCACTCTGCTTAGTACTAGGAAATATTAAAGTTAAAGAGATGTGGCTTCTACCCTCAAGAAACTTGCAAACTATTCCCTTATAAAGAGAGAATATATGCTAAGTAAGCCACTTAGAACTATGGGTTTGTATTAACTATAAATGTAAAATGAATTCCTTGAAGGCAAACTTACATTGTCTGGAATAAAGTTGATAAAGGCTTCATAGCAGACTGGGATTAGGGTGACCAACTCATCCTCGTTTGCTCAGGGCTGCCCTGGTTTTGGCCCTGAAAGGCACACACCCCTAGAACTCCCTCAGTCCCTCAGTCTCAAACAAATTAGGGGATGGCTGATCACCCTAGCTGGTAGTTAAGCTGGAGGAACAGCATTTAGATGAACTATGATGTTTGGACAGGGGACCATAGGACCTGTGACAATATCTAAATCTACGTAAATGCCAAATTAGGAAGATGGAATATATAGAGAATTTGCTGGTATGATAAAATGAAACAAGCTTTAACATAGTTAAATTTTTATTTAACATATTAAATAACATATTAAATTTAATATTTAACATATTAAAGAATATTGAACTGTGTGATGATTAGGCACAGAGGATAGCAAGCTTCCATGTATTATTTCAGTATTCCATGTATTTGTTATTTGTATTTTTATACAAATAAAATCTGCTTCTATCCAATTTGCTGGTTCCTCAACAGTTCTTATACATAATGTAATATAACCCCACCCAACCGTGCAATTATAAAATAGCATATGCTTAGTGTGGAAAGCTTGGCATAGATAGCCCTTCTCCCAAACTTTTCAGATCCACCAATGTCATTATAGTCACAATTATTTCTTCTGGTCTGTCCTCTCTACATTCACAAATGTGTAAATTGGCTGATTATTTCTTCTGAAAGAATGGAAGAAGGTCAATGGCCACAGGAAAAATTGGTGTAGGTGTGTGGATGAGAGTTGACACAGTGGATCAGTAAAGCTGAAACACTGGGATCCAAGCAGTTGTGTTTGTTGTTATCACGTTTCTATCCAAGTCTGTCTAGAACTGACCACAGCTCTAAGGAAAGGAGTGGTCTTCCCTTCACTCTGAGGATCTAACCAGGTTCAGAACTTTGGCAAACAGCCTTTTGAATTAATTGTTGGACTTTAGCTCTGGCAGTGGTGAGACCTCCCTTTGGGCCACCTGGGCTACCTCAGATTTTGACACCAGCAGTCATGTCTCAGTGCTAGTGTTTCTGCAGCGAAAGCAATGGAACCGCAAACGGCCACCAAGCTCAACTTAGGGGAAGAGCAGTAAACAGGCAGGAGGAAAGATTTGCAGATCTCATAAACAGTTCCCAGTGCCCGTAAAGAGTCACTTGGAAAGCAAATTCTCATGTAAAGAAGGAAAAGGAATTCTCTACATAACGCAGAATGGTGTCCTTTTTTTAAGATTTTATTATTATTTTTTTAATTTTTAAATTTTTAAAAAGATTTTATTTATTTGAGAGAGAGAGAGCACAAGCAGGAGTAGGGGTAGAGAGAGAAGACGACTCCCCTGGAGCAGGGAGTCCAACTTAGGGCTTGATCCTAGGACCCCTGAGATCACGATCTGAGCTGAAGGCAGATGCTTAACTTACTGAGCCACCCAAGGGCCCCAATTTTATTTTTCTAAAGTAATCGCTATGCCCAATGTGGGGCTTGAACTGATAGCCCTGAGATGAAGAGTCACACGCTCTTCAGTTGAGCCAGCCAGGTATCTTTCCTTTTTAATTAATGCATTTTGTTTATTGTCAAATATTTTTATAAATATCCTAATGATTTTATATAATAATCCATTATCACACCACTGGAAAGTGAAAGTTGTTGTTGTTGTTTTTTCTTTTTCCAAATTTCAAAGTTTCAACTGTATTGATGGGAAGGCAAAAGGCAAGCTGAGGGCAAAACTGGAGCTGACACCCCACAAAGGCCACCCCCCTTAGGGTAGGATATGTCTAACATTCCTCAGGCACTAGTGATGGCCTCAGAACAAAGGTAGGGAGAAACAAACTGTCAACTGATAAAGATCGCAGTCATGTAGGATGTGAAACTCCACTATTGTTTGTAACTGTCTTAACAATTTAGAAGAAAACCACAATCTTAATAACAGCTAGACCACCAAGAACCTATAGACTCAATTTCCTGGAGCCCTACTGTCACCTTCACCTCCACAGGATAGAAAACCCTATATAATCAGTCACTTCTCACAATTACAGCACAGCTCTCTCTGCTCACGGATCCTGTCCCAGTGCTCTAATAAAAACATCTTTTTGCACCATAAAATGCCTCATGAATTCTTTCTTGACCATTTTGCTCAATGACCCTGCATCATGTGTCATACCTTTAATTCAGTATCTTGCCTTTTTTTTTTTTACCTAAATACTGTCTTATAACCATTTTCTAGGCTGCTATATGATCTTTACAGATTTTACTAAAATGTAAAATTTTATCAAATAATTCTACTTATATCTTGCCTTCCTCAATCTAGTCATGTAAAATTTATTTAGTGTTTTTGTCTGCTGGCATATCTTCCCCCTGTCTTCTTGTAAGAGCATTGGCATCCTTTAGGGAAATTCACACCCTTCTGCCTCCCAACTCCACATGATTCTGGTAGGGTTAGGACAATAAATTATATAAGATTTACATGGTAAATGGTTAAAAGAATTAAGTTAAATATAGGATTTTACCATATTTATTTATTATCGGCTTTTCTCCAGTAATTTATGTCAAAAAGGGGGAGAAAAGGTAGGTTTTTTTTTTTTTTTAAGATTTTATTTATTTATTTGACAGAGAGATCACAAGCAGGGAGAGAGGCAGGCAGAGAGAGAGGGGGAAGCAGGCCCCCTGCTGAGCAGAGAGCCAATGTGGGGCTTGATCCTAGGACCCTGAGATCATGACCTGAACCGAAAGGCAGAGGCTTAACCCACTGAGCCACCTAGGTTCCCCCAAAAAGGTAGTTTATTATGTGAGAAAGTTACTTTTGGCCCACCATCTGTAATCTTCAGTTTTGATTTGTTTTATCAATGTTGATGACAGGTTTGCACTAGTTCTTACACACTATTAAACTCTTCTTTCTTATAACAGTTGATGTGTTGCCTAGTCTTTGGGTGTGAGAAGATAATCACAGAACTGTTTGGCAAAGCTAACTTGTCCTACAAAGGGAATTAAACCCACACACATGGTTTGCTAAATTAATGCTGGAAATGAGGGTGTGAGGACAATTCACGTCAAACACATTTGGGTTTCAAGTGACTGAGCTTGTTACTAGTATACACAGAAAAAAAGATAATAAAAACATTCCAGCAGGGCACAAAGAGAATTAAAAGACCACTCATTGCTCTTCAGAATATACTAGTTTAATATACTTAAAAACAACTCCCGTACAAGTGCTTATTATTGTGATAGCATTGTATGGGAACAGATGGTAGGTACACTTGAGCTGAGCATATTGTAATGTATAAACTTATCCAATCACTATGTTGTACACCTGAAACTAATGTAACATTATGTGTTGACTATATTCAACTTAAAAAGCTGAAAAACAAAGACCCCTCTCTGGCTCAGTCACTCTTAATCCCCAGGTCATGGGTTTAAGACCCACGTAGGGCATCAAGCTTACTTTAAAAAAAATTACAAAACAACAACAAAAACCACAACTCCAGTAGAGTGCCACATTTTTGACTCCGCAACCTCATCTATCCTTCTGGGCCTAACTGCTTCCTCTTCTTACATCATTATTGCCTAACCTACCTCTGTTCTTCTCCTCACTCCTCATGGGTTCTGCTAATTCCTCTATGTATCTCCCCAATTCTGTACCACGCTATTTCTGAACACTCTCTATGACTCACGTTCAATGACCCCAAAAGTTTAACTGCATCATTACCCAGGTCAGGATACCATGTTGGCTAGACTTCTTAAGCTAGGCAATTTAGTAAGTCACTGGTAACCCTATGGATGGCAAAGTACCTGTCAGTGGCCCAAAAACTATGGACAGGAGAGCAGAATAACAACATGCAGAGGGCTTTGAGTAAGATGGAGTCTCAGATGCATGCAAAGAGAGGAAACCATACTTGGCAGAGGACTTGCATGGCCTGTCTTCTATACCAAGATAACCAGAGACATTGTATCGTGAGATTGGAGAGGCGGGCAAAGGAGGTAGCACTACACTAGCAGCAGTGAACCAGTGGTGCTCTTTAGCTAAGAGAATGCTAAGTAGACTAAGTAGACTACTAACTCCATGTAAACTACATATAAGTTACCATAATTGTAGTCTCCCGATTTGTCTTTCTTTCTCTTATTCCCCTCACCTTTTTTCTTTGAAAGATCTTTTTGCTTCCTTTGCAAAAATTTCTTAGAAATCCCAAGACATTCAGATTTATTAAAGTGAACTTCCTTTTACCTCCATATTTATATATATCTTCACATAGCTATCTTCCTCCCAAAGTTTTTGCCTTCTGAGAATTGAACTCTATATTCACATAGTTATCTCCTTCACCAAGATAGGCTTTGTCTTTTGAGAATTTAGCATATTATCTTACAATTTGTTTTCTTTTTTCCTATGTATTCCATGTTTCTTTTCATTCC